CCATTTTTGGTTCAAAACTGTCCACCCACCCATTTACCCACTCAGTCATCATTTCAGTACTCTGATGGTGAAGGGTTTCATGGCCACCCTCTACAGATATTTTCCCCTTCAGCACTATTGTCACATTTTTTGCTCTAGTAAACTGAAGTTTTACTCTGAACTGATTAAGGAGTAATGACAAGTTTCTACACCACCTAGTCTAGAGAAGGTAGAAGGAGGGAGAGAAGAGAGAAAGAGTGACTAGATGTTTTCTAATGTATCTAGGTATGGAATAGGCACCCACGTTTGTAATCCAGGAGAAGATATTTTATTAATACTAGTGGAATACCTAGTGTGACTCTTTACTCTGGACCACAAGGCTGGTTTGAACCGCAAGGTTTTCGATTCAGATTCACCAGCTGCTCCTTGGAAACCCTATACAGGGTCGCTGTGAGTTGGAACTGACTCAACAGCACTTAACAACAGTGGAATACCTAAGGAACCCTGGTAGCGTAGTGGGCTGCTCATTGGGCTGCTAACTGAAAAGTCAGCAGTTCAAATCCATCAGCTGTTCCACAGGAGAAACGAGACTTTTTGCTCCTATAAAGATTTCCACCCTCAGAAACCCATACAGGGTCATTATTCGTCAGAACCAACTCAATGGCATGCAGCAGCAGCTGGGGAATACCTACTAGTACAGGTCAGTGGTTCTCGAATTTAAGTGGGCCTCAGAATCACACATCCCCAGACTTTGTGATTGTCATTCTGGGGTGGGGCTTGAGAATTTGCATCTCTAACAACTTTCTAGATGCTGCTGGTCTGGGGACCATACCCACAGATAAGAGAGAAGCAGCTGAACAGTTTCTGACCAAGGAACACCTGAAGGCCAAGGCTGGCAGAGAAGGAACAGGCAGCCCTCCATTCTTTTTTTATTTTTAATTGAATAAAATTCATATAACATTATAATAAACCATTTGAAAGTTCATTGGCATGTAGGACAGTCACAGTGTTGTGCAACCAATACCTCTACCTAGTTCCAAAACAATGTAGTTTCATTATCCCAAAAGGAAACCCCATAGCCATTAAGCAGCTACTTCCCATTATTCCCTCGCCTCCAGCCCTTGGCAACCACCAGTCAGTTTTCTTCTTCTGTGGGTACAACTGTTGTGGATATTTCATATAAATAGAACCATACAGTACATGACCTCTGGCTTCTTTCATTTAGCATGATGTTTTTAACTTCCTCTATTCTTTTTATCATAGCCATTGTAAAAGAAAGGTGGGATTAGAGTCCCAGCACTCGCCAGACAATGGGGGTGATATCAGCTTGATCATCATCCTTGTTGCTGAGATCTACCTAGAAGTCAAGATGATATATTTTCTGAAATAGAGACAAACAAAAGAACAGATTAAGCTTTGCTTTTTCATGTCTTCCTGTATGTAAATTGTTGTTGTTGTTATTGTTAGGTGCCATCAAGTCAGCTCTGACTTACAGCGACCCTATGCCAAACAGAACTAAACACTACCTGGTCCTACACCATCCTCACAGTTGTTGTGCTTGAGCACATTATTGCTGCCACTGTTCTAATCCATCTTGTTGGGGGTCTTCTTTTTTGATGACCCACCACTTTACTAATCATGGTGTTCTCCTCCAGGTTTTGGTCCCTCCTGATTACATGTGTGAAGTATGAGAGACAAAATTTCGCCATCCTGCTTTTTAAGGAGCATTCTGGCTGTATTTCTTCAAACACAGATTTGTTTGTTCTTCTGGCAGTCTATAATACCTTTAATATTCTTCTCTAACACCATAACTCAAATGCATCAATTATTCTACAGCCTTCCTTATTCACTGTCCAACTTTTTCGTGCATATGTTACAATTGTTACAAAACATGTGCTATTTGAACATTTTTGTTTATAGTACAATAAAATGAATTACATTCATCATGCTATAAAACCATCACCATTATCCATTTTCAAATTTTTCTACCGTCCTTAATAAGAAGTCTTGTTGTTAAGTGCTGTCAAGTCAGTTCCAACTGATAGCAACCCTGTGTAAGGTTTCCAAGTAGCAGCTGGTGGGTTTGAACTGCCAACCTTTTTTCAAACCCACCTTTCACTTCAAATTGACCTTGCTTATCCTTCAACAACACACCAGGACTCCAGTAGTAACTTAGATACTCCTAAGCTATGACTCTACCTTTCCCCCTCCCTACCACCCACTCCTGGTAATCACTAATGAACTTTTGCTTCTTGTAGTTATTACATATAGGTGAAATCATATAATATTTGTCCTTTTGTGTCTGACTTCTTTCACTCAGCATAATATTTTTGAGGTTCATCCATGTTGTTCAATGTATCAGGACTTCATTTCTTGTTATGGAAGTGGTTTTTCTTGTTGTCCCTTAGTGTGAATGGACTAGTAAGCTTAGATATCAAAGATGATGAACATTACTTTATTTTGTTACCAAATAAAGGAAAACTGTAAGACTATACAACCTGAATAAGGTCCTCTAAAGCAGGGGTGGGGAACCTTTTGTCTCCCAAAGGCCATTTGGATATTTATAACATCATTCAGCTGTTCCACGGGAGAAATATGAGACTTTCTTCTCCTGTGAAGATTTACAGCCTTGGAAATCCTATGCAGGGCCATTATGAATTGGGACAGACTCCATGGCACATAACCACCACCATTTTTAGTGTCAATGCCTGATTTTTCAAGATAATCCTGTGAATAGCTTTTCATCAAGTTTGACCTTATGGCAGAATAGCATCAAGCTTTTTTCCTCCCTGATATTTCCTTGGAATCATAAAATGTTATTAGTTTGAGTACTTAGCAGCATTGGAGGTGTGGAATATTATTTTGGATTTCTTTTTTTTTTTTTTTTCCAGTATAGAAAGCCCTCTGGCACTAAATAAAAATGTCACCATGTAAAATGTAAAGGCTTTCTATAACAAATGTCTTTAAGAATTCATGAAGGTTGACCTATACTTACGCTGTAGTAGCTCAAAATACCAACTGAGAGGGAAGGAGGCTTCACATCAAGGATCAAACCTATCCCCTCTGTACACAGGGTTGATAGGGACAGGCAAGTTAGACATTGGCTACCTAAAATGAGGGGGTGATAAAGGCATGAAGTGACTGGCTTACAAGTTTTCAAAAGGGAATTTACCTTAAGAGTGTTTGAGGAAGGTAGAGTCCCCAATGAATAGTTTTCATCTTGTCTAGATGAGTCTGGTGAAAAGAAATGGGGATAAAATTCTTATGATTCAATAGTATTACTATAATCACCATGATTAATTGCCACTGTCACAACTGTAAAGGTAGAAGTTTAGTAACAAAAAGTGGGGAGTAGTTCAGCTTACATTCCAGGAACAGAGGACCCTAGGACCATCGAGGGTGAAGGACACAAGCAGAATGTGGGACCCTATCTAGAGAGGCAGTTACACCAGAGGTGGAGGCAGAGATGAGGACATGGAGAAAGAGAGAGCAACTGAGGACTCTAGACTTATAGAAAGAGAAAGACTGAGTGCCAGTGGCCATGAGGCAGGCTTTTACAGAATGTTTTCTCTGGTTGTTTAAATTATTATATATTCCTGAGCATTCTCCTCCGCCCTGAAACAAAAACAAAACAGAGGGAATGGAAGCAAATAATGTTGAATGGTGATACACGGAGAACATTGTAATCACTGCAATGAAATGATGGTGTAAAATGAATGTTCGCCCATGTAAACTATCACTCAATTCACAATAAAAACTGAAAAGCAAAAAAAAAAAAAAAATTCATGAAGGGCTGAGGATTTGATTTATTGTATCCTTTCTGTAATTTGTTCATATTTAATGTTAGTTTCGACATTGAAAGCATGAAGAACTTTTACAAACTAAAAATGGTAGTGAATCGGTCTTATCTGCAGACTAGTTCCACCATGCCAGAGTTTGTATTCTGTGCTTCATCTTTCTTCATGTGTTTAGGCCAGATATGTTTGGTTTTCCCATGGGTTAAATTTCTCACTACTAAAACCTTTTGGCATTGGACAGACAATCTGACCCAACTACTTATGGTTTTGACTGCTGTATCCCTGATATCAATAGACATGTTCCTTAGGCATTAATCAGGATTCCACGGGTTTGGTGGCAGAAGAGAGGAGTGGGAAGAAACCCTTACCTTGGAACCATAGTCCTATTTTGAGTTGCTGAGTTGCCTGTGTTTTCAGGAACGTCTTTAGGTAGAGACGGTATCTTGTCTTATCTGTGGATGGTTCCTATAAATCTTGGGTAATGATAGAATTAGCTTCAAATGAAGGAAGGAAAATCAACTCAAAACAAACTCATACTCTCTCTTTTTCTTTTTAACCAGTAAAGAGAAGCTTTGGGTCTGAGGAGTTAAAATATTTGTAGAAAGGGAAGCTTGCCAAGATGCCATGGGTGCAGTTACTTATAAGCTGTGAGTTGGGCTGAATCTGTGATGGCTAGAAGATGGCTCAGTAAGACACAGTTGCCTTGGACACCTGGTTTCTGCCTGCCCTTCTATCTGCCCATCTTTTTTATTTTTTCCTTTTGGAGTTCCATCCTTTTATCCCTACCCTTCTGTCTTTTATTCCTTTTGAACTCTTGTGACCATCTCTCCATTCTTCAGATACTTCTGAGCCCCTCCTGTGGGCCAGGCACTGTGCCTACTTAAGTGAGTCAGCTTCTCATAAAATAAGGGAAGTGTGATTCTTTTCGCAGCTAAAAATAGTAACTTTTTAATAAGAACATCAAGGAAAAAAGGGAATCAAAGGTACTGAGTGCTGACAAGAGTAAAGCTCTTCTGACCTACACATCCCATTTGTTTGTTATTGAGGTTCAGACCTATATATTAAAGACTGTCAACCAATACACAGAACACTGGAAAAAAAAATCAAATGGCTGATTTGTAGAGCCTTTTTTGAGCATCTTGTCTTAATGATCTTGGTTTTATGCCCTCGCTTGATGGAGAGAATCATCTTAAATAAGTAAAATCCTCTTTTTTCCCCCTACAGACTATTGGGAAGAAGTTACCTCCAACTACAGCAACTCAAGACTCATCAAAAGCAGAGATGGACAGCAGGACAAAGAGTACGTTTTCTTATTTTTCCATTTGAAAGCAATGAAAGGTTTTCCAGTCATTGAAATGCTTTGGGACAAGCCCATCCATAATCTTGATAGCATTTTCAAGCACATTAATAAAAGTTCGTATGAATGTGTTTAATAAGAACCCTACCAGTAGGACCAGCACAAATTAGATTCAGACCTTCCCTGTCCCCACCCCAGCCTTTATGAAACAAGCTTCTTTCCTGTCATATTTAGCTCACCCATGTATAAAGTTGGAGTCTATCTGTATAGATCCCAGAATATGCTGCATAGTGCAGGGAGCAGAAAAATTCTAGATAAAGACAACTAAAGCAATTTGAACTTTCCGTAGGCCTTCAAATCAGAAAGGACTTTACATATCTTTTAACGTAAACAGTCAACCCTTCAGACTCACCTTACCCCCACGCAGCCTTAACACATCTCTGCTAGATTATCTCTGGTGGTGGTTCTGTGCCGTGGGGTTGGTTCCAAATCATAGCGACCCTGTGCAGGATTTCTGAGGCTGTAAATCTTTATGGGAGGAGAAAATTCTCATCTTTCTCCCACAGAACAGCTGGTAGTTTTGAACTGCTGACCTTGTGGTTCACAGCCCAATTCATAACCACAGCGCTACCAGATTATCTCTAGAGATAAGGAAATCCTTACCCAGGAGATTACCAAGACAACTCCTCCTGGGAGGACTCAGACTTTAGAATTTTCTTTCTTCTGTTAAGCCAAATATCCTCTTCCAATAATGTTTATCCATGAGTTCTATTCTCTGGGTCTATATTGATATTAAATCACTCAAGCAAGTGATAATGAAATTGAAGAATTCTGTCAACTTCTTCATTCTGAAATTGATCAAACCTGCAATCAGGATGTATTGACTGGTGATTACAATGCGTAGGTTAGAAATAAAAGAAGGATTGATAGTTGGAAAATATGGCCTTGGTGATAGAAATGATCCTGGATATCAATCACATGGTGGAATTTTGCAATACCCATGGATTCTTCATTGCAAATACCTTTTTTAAACAATATAAACAATGACTATACACATGGGCCTTGCCAGATGGAATACACAAGAACCAAATTGACTACATCTCTGGGAAGAGATGGTATAAAAGGTCCATATGATCAGCCAAAGTAAGATCAGGTACAGACTGTGGAACAGACCATCAATTGCTTATATGCAAGTTCAGGCTGAAGCTGAAGAAAATGAAAACAAGTCCACAGGAGCCAAAATATGACCTTGAACATATCCCACCTGAATTTAGAGATCATCTCAAGAATAGATTTGATGCATTAGACACTAATGACCGAAGACCAGAAGAGTTGTGGGATGATATCAAGAATATCATACAAGAAGAAAGCAAAAGGTCATTAAGAAGATAAGAAATAAGGACAAGACCAAAATGGATGTCAGCAGAGACTCTGAAACTTTCCCTCCAGCATAGAGATGCTAAAGTAAGTGGAAGAAATGAGAAGGTAAAAGAGCTGAACAAAAAAATTTCAACAAGCAGCTTGAGAAGATAAAGTCAAGTGTTATAATGAAACGTGCAAAGCCTTGAGTTAGAAAGCCAAAAGGGCAGAACATGCTTAGCATTTCTCAAGTTGAAAGACAGAAGGAAAAACTCAAGTCTTGTCTTGAAATATTAAAGGAATCTATGGAGTCCTGATGTGGCACTGTAACACAAACACTGAACTACAAGGCTGGTGGTTCAAATTCACCAGCCACTCCTCGGAAACCCTATACAGTGTCATTATGAGTTCGAACGGACTAGATAGCACGTAACAACAACAACAATGGGCAAAACATTGAATGATGCAGGCAGTGTTAAAAGAAGATGGAAGCCCGTTGACCTGGAGATGAGAGAGAGAAGAGGAAGTGTTGGTTGGTCCAAAATATGGTGAGACGTGGGACTCCTGAGCCCCTGGAAAAGGATATAGCCACAGAGTGGTATTGCTGAGAGTGAGGCATCCACTGATGTGAAGTGAGGGGAGATGCACAAGAATGCCCAAACTTGTAGATAGTACCCATTCGACCTAGCCTTGAAGGCTCGATGATCAGAACTTGACTAGAAGAAGATAAACAAATTTTGATAAAGGAAACAAGTGAAAATTGCTACAATTTGATGAACTTGACCTATGTTTATGAATGTTGTTGTTGTTTAGTACCGTGGAGTCGGTTCTGACTCATAGTGACCCTGCACAGGGTTTCCAAGGCTGTAAGTCTTTACGGGAGCAGAAAGCCTTATCTTTCTCCCGTGGAACAGCTGGTAGTTTCGAACTGCCAACCTTGAGGTTAGCAGCCCAATTCGTAACCACTATGCTACCAGAGCTCCTTATGGATGTAGTCACTGAAAATACCAACTGAGAGGGAAGGAGTCTTCACATCAAGGATCAATCCTATCCCCTCTGTACACAGGGTTGACAACTTAGACATTGGCTATCTAAAATGGTGGGGGCGGGGGGAGTCTGTAAAGGCACAGAGTGACTGGCTTACAAGTTTTCAAGAGGGAGTTGAGTTTCAGAGTGTGTAGGGGAAGGTAGAATCCCCACTGAATAGTTTTCATCTTGTCTAGACGAGATGGGGATAAGGTTCTTATGATTCAATAGTGAATAATTGCTATCATGACTAACTGTGACTATCGCAACTGTAAAGGTAGAAGTTTTGTAACAAAAAGTGGGGAGTAGTTAATCTTTACATTCCAGAAATAGAGGACCCTAGGGCCATCAAGGGAGAGCAGCACGGACGGAATGTGGGCCCCTATCCAGAGAAGCAGCAACACCAGAGATAGAGGCAAAGATAATGACATGGAGAGATAGAGCAGCTGAGGACTCTAGACTCATGGAAAGAGAAAGGCTGTGTGTTGGCAGCCAGGAGGCAGGCTTGCAGGATGTGTCCTTTGGTTGTTTAAATGATTATATTCCTGAGTGTTTCTGTGTATATCAAAAACAAAAAACAAAACCAGAGGGAATAGTAGCAAATACTGTTGAATGATGATGCATGGAGGGGATTGTAATCATTGCAATAAAACGAAATACGATAGGATGAGTGTAAAACTGATGTTCTCCCATGTAAGCTATCACTCAATTTATAATTAAAACTTAAAAAAAAAAAAAAGAATAAGATAGAAGGAATATAGAGAGTCACTGTACCAAAAAGAAATGATCGATGTTCAGTCAGTTCCAGAGGAAGCAGATGATCAAGAGCCAATGGTTCTGAAGGAAGAAATCCAAGGTGCACTGAAGGGATTGACAGAGAGCAAGACTTCAGGAATTGATGGAATGTAACTCTAAATCTTTTGACATACTGATGGAGCACTAGGTTCATTCACTCGTTTATGCTAAGAAATTTGGAAGACAGCTACCTGGCCAACAGATTGGAAGAGACCTATATTGTGTCCGTTCCAAAAACAAATGTAGAAATCAGACACTATCATTAATATCACATGCAAGTAAACTTTTTCTAAAGATATTTAAAAATCACTGTAACAGTGCATTGAAGGGAACTTCCCAGAGGTTCAAGCTGAATTCAGACAAGGATATGGACCTAGAGATACCATTGCTGACGTCAGATGGACCTTGGCTGAAAGCAGGGAATATCAGAAAGAGGTTTACCTGTGCTTTTTTGATTATTCCAGGGCTTTCGGACTGTGTAGGTCATGGAAAAAACTGCAAAGAATGGGTATTCCAGGACTCTTAATTATACTCATGAGGAACCTGCACATAGACCAAGAGATAATCATTCAAACAGAACAAGGGGTCAATGAATGGTTTAAAATTAGGAAAGATGTGCTCTAGGGTTGTATTCTTTTGCCATACTTATTCAGTTTGTCTGCTGAGCAAATATTATGAGAAGCTGAATTATATGAAGAAGACCATGGCATCAGGATTGGAGAAAGACTCATTAACAACCTATGATATGCAGGTGATACAACAACCTTGCTTACTGAAAGCAAAGCGGACTTAAAATACTTAGTGATGAAGACCAAAGACCACAGCCTTCAGTATGGGTTGCACCTCAATATAAAGAAAACAAAAATCCTCGCCACTGGAGCAATAAGCATCATGATAAATGGAGAAAAGACTGAAGTAGTCAAAGACTCCTTTATGTTTGGATCCATTATGAACACTCATGGAAGCAGCAGTCAAGAAATCAAATGACGTGTTGCCATTAGACAAATCTGCTGCACAAGACCTCTTTAATGTGTTCAAGAGCAAGGATGTCAGTTTGAGGACTAAGGTACTCCTGAACCAAATCATGGGATTTTCAATAGCTTCATATGCATGTGAAAATTCGACAATGAATAAGGAAGACTGTAGAAGAATTGATGGATTTGCATTATGGTGTTGGAGAAGAATATTGAAAGTACCATGAACTGCTAGAAGAACAAACAGATCTGTGTTGGAAGAAATATAAGCAGAATGTTCCTTAAAAGCCAATATGACTAGACTTTGTCAGGAGAGACCAGTTCCTGGAGAAGGGCATCATATTAGGTAAAGTGGAAGGTTGTTGTTGTTAAGTGCCATCAAGTCACTTCTGACCCATAGCAACCCTGTACAGGGTTTCCAGGAGCAGCTGGTGAGCTTGAACCACTGACCTTGCAGTTCAAACAGCTTTGCAGTGTGGCGCAAATATACATTTTTTCATGGATGGGAGGGCAAGAATTTCTGAATTGAAACCTACCTTTGTAACTCTCTTAATGAAGGGCAAATTCTGGAGTCATTGCTTTCCCGTGATTTCAGTAAGGTACCAGAGTCACTGAGATGTCCTCTCTATCTGAAGCACGTCACTGCTTCAGAATTGTGATGTGACACCATGTTCAGGTGACAACCAACAGTACTGACCAACTAGTAGAAATACCCCCTCCTTGGGAGCAGAGCAGCCCCCCTCCTTCTTCCTTCTTGTTGGAAGACAAACCCAGTGGTATAGCCCACCTAGTGGTATAGAGGAGGGAAGCTCCTTCCTGCACAGCTGTCTTCTTCACTAAAATAACAAG